AAAAAGTTTTAAAAGCCATCGTTGGCAATTTTTCTAAAAAAATTGTCAAAAGAACAAAAAAGAAGAATATGACGAACTTGTTTACACTTCAATTTTTTATACCTATCAGATACTGTCATGAAAAAAATTGGTAAACTTGATACTATAAAAGAATTTTTGAAAAAGTTTGAGGATTTATATTTGCTTAAGTTTACTCCTAATAAATTTTATCTACTTGGAAGATTTTTTAATTTTAAAATGGATCATTCAAAAGATCTTGATGACAATTTTGTCAAATACCAAACGACAAACTCCTAGGTTCCCTTCATTACAGTATTTCTGAACAAGTTCCTAGATAACAAGTCTAAAGATTTTTTTATGGATAATAGTGACGATATTGATACTAGTGACGATATCGATCATGACCTTGATACAGAGCTAGAATTGTTAACTATGATGAATGCGCTAACCATGGATATGATGTAGGAAATAGACCGATTTTATATCACCCTTCAATTCGAATTAGCAAAAGCAATGTCTCCTTGCATAATATGGATTCCAAATATTCATGATTTAGATGTGAAAATTTTGTCAAAAGAACAAAAAGAAGAATATGATGAACTTGCTTACACTTCAATTTTTTATACCTATCAGATACTATTATGAAAAATATTGGTAAACTTAATACTACAAAAGAATTTTGGAAAAGGTTTGAAGACTTGGATTTGTTAAAGTCTACTCCTAATAAGTTGTATCTAATTGAGAGATTTTTTAATTTTAAAATGGATCATTCAAAAGATCTTGATGACAATTTGGATTTTTGAACAAACTTGTTTGAGATATTATTAATTGTGATGAGAAGGTGTATGAAGCCTATAAGACTATTATTTTGCTTAATTCTATACTTGATTCATATATGGAGGTTAAGAATATAATTAAGTATGATAAAGATGCCTTAAAACCCGAACTTGTCATAGATTCCCTTAGGAGTAAAGAGATAGAGCTTAAGGCTGAAAAAGATGAGAAGACAAGTGGCGAAGTGCATATGATGAGGAGTAGAGTGAAATTTAAACAAATGATTGTGTAGAACTTATGACAGTAGTGACTCGAGTTATGAGGGTGGCAGGAAAAAAGGACAGGAGTTGGGACAAGTCTAGTGGTATATGGTGTTACAATCGTAGTAAGACTGGACACTTTATGAAGAATTGTCCTAAGAACAATAATAAGTAGAAGGGTAAGGTAGAGATAAGGGGAATGTTTCTTTTGCGTCGAGTGATTACTCTAGTAAGGTATATTGATAGGAAACCTAGTTATTACATGTGCATCTGTGTGTAATCATTTCTATATGTGTATAGGATTGCTTAATTTTGTTGCATGGTTATATGATATTTTAATATGTTTGATATATACATTTACATCAATTTGAGAGCAATTCGATTACTTGTGTAATATGTTTGCATGCATAGTGGATTGAGATGCATTCATTATAAGTGTGTTGTGTGTCTTTTAATAATGTTGAGTACAGATGCCTAATGATGCATTGGTTGTATGTGCCGAGGATGTGGGATGTGACATTTGAATCACAAGTCGAGATATGATTAAATGTCAGGAATCCTTTATATGTAAAGACCTTGATCACATGGAGTGTAAGAGTAACACTTATCACTTCTATTGATGAGGTCTATTATCTACTTAGATTGAGAGAAGTCAGGTAGTGATAGAGAATTATCCCATGGACTTAGAACTTATTGTGGTTCATCAATTAGACATGCTTCGTTAGCGATCAGTTTAGCGAGCATGATGGGCGATAAGAGGAGATATATGTTCTCGATGTGCGAGCAACACAAAATAGGATATGATTAGTGTAGTAAGATTTTTTCGTGGAGTCATTTATGTATTTATTGCATATGTATTGACTGTTTGATTAATTATTTGGTGTTAGTCCGTTGTTCTATGTCAACATGTTTGAAAATATTTGTGTTATTTTATGTTATATCTTCATCGCGTGTATAATATGCTCTTGATTGATTAATGTGATTATTTTATTCCTAATTGAGTGTTTTTTGCCTTAACTTTAGTGAGTACATGGAGTATGTATGTATGTGTGTAAATTTTGAAACACTAGGTAAGGTTTGTGATTGCTGTTGACTTATGGTTGATTATAACCTTAAAGTTTTGATTATCACAAACAAGTTAATCTTATTAACTATCAAGTAAATTTTAAGTGATTATAGTTTTTCAAAGCATACTATTAAAAATTGATCAATGATCGTCAAAAGATCAAAGGCTATCATCACAAATCAGGCTCATGAAGGAGGTCAAGATCGAATCACATATTCAAGAACGTAAGAACCAAACTTCTAAAAACGATAAAAAAACTTGATCCTTAGATAAAATATAAATGTACTAATACTTTGATATTTAACAATAAATGCTAAAATTCAAAATTTTCTATGCATTAAAAATAATTTTTTACATTAAAAGTCATTTTAATGCAACGTTTTGAGCAAATATAAAAATGACTTTTAAAATGATATTTGAACTTGAAAAATATCTTTTATCTTAAAAAGTTAGTTAAATATACTTTTTCAAAAGTCCATGCCTTTCAAAAACTTCAAATCAGTTCAAACAAGGCCAAAAAGCATAAAAGGAATAAAGCGGCAAGGCAGTCAACCGGCCAGACGAGGCAATCGATCGGCCAAAAGTGACGATCGGCCTGAAATTTTCAACGATCCAAAATTTAACTGCTTTGACCTCTGAATTTCACTATACAAACGGCTATATTAGTCATCCGGACAAAAAGCGGTCGACCGGATATGTCATCTGAATTTACAAAATTTTTTAGCATTTTTAACTCTATAAATATCCTCTCTCTTTCCATTTTTCACAAGACATTCAAGAGCAAAAAGTTGGATTTTTCTGAGAAAATGACGCAGAACGAAAGTAAGAAAAAATAAAAGATTTACCAACGTAAATCTTGAAAATAAGAAAATTGGAATTCTCCAAGAATGAAACTTGTATATTATTCAATGATGATGGAAAACGTTCTAAAAGTCATTAAATAGGCGTTACAAGAAACCTTAAAACATAGAAAAAATAAAACATTCCAAATATTACGAAAATTCAAAACGGGAAATACGGAAATTAATTATTCAGAGGCCTAAACGAAGGAATTTGGCTCAAATTCCGAGATCTCGGGTGCCCCGAGTCCAATTTCTCGGGCCGTTTCCAATCAACCTGCCAGATTTCAGCCCATTCCAACACCGTCGCGACAAATGACAAAATTGCCCTGGTGCGATTTTCTTTGTTAATTTTCTGTCCAACACTTCTTCAAACTCCAAAGTTAGTTGTCCTATATCAGAAAATTCTTTGAACTTTCCTTTGTATTCATTTCTTTTATTTCTTCATATAAAAGACTTTGATTGATTCAAACTCAATCATCTTCATCAAAGTTTTTCATCTTTTTTTGTACTTAACTTATTTCTATTATTCATAAAAGAAATATATATTTTGAAAAAGATCTTTCAACTTATATTGTATATATTTCTTCTACCTTTTCATATTGAAAACTTTGATTTGTTGAATCAAACTCGTAAACTCATCATATTCATCAAAATTTCTCGTTTCTCTCTTAATACTTATTTTATTACAATCATTCATTAAAAAGAGATATATTTTGAGAAGAATTTTTAACGTATATTTCATTTATTTCTTCTTCATTTTCTCATTGAATGACTTTGATTGATTGAATCAAATATTTAATTATCATAGTCATCAAAATTTTCATTTAACACTTGAGCTATCATTTATAGCTATTCATTGAAATGTTAGTCTCTCTCAGTACTTAATTCATTTATATCATTTATTAATAGAGGAATTTCATTGTAAAATCATTTCTATAAACTTATGGGTCATATTGAGGTCTCTTGAATCTCAATATTATATAAGGATTGGTGCTCCTTATTTGTAAGTCACCAAAATCATTGTAAAAAGTTGGATTACACAATAATTCAATCAATATAGTGAAAATGCTTTGCTTGTGCCAAATAGTTTGGTAACAGAGGACATAGAATATTGCCTTGGACTGAACCTCCAAAATTATATCGTTTGCATCATCTCTACCTTTTTACTTATTGTTATCTCATTTATGTTTATTATTTGATTGATCTACTTGCTTTATTTACTTATGATTATTAGTTGATTAACATATCCTTATTAGTTGATTAACATATCCTTTGCTTTTTTTATTTAAGTTTATTTTTCGAAAAAGTTTTAAAAACCAATTCATCCCTTCTTGGTTAGTTAATCCAAATACAAAGTTAATACTGAATTTTGTTAAACAAGTTTGTATTTGGATTGCTTGCATATATATATATATATATATATATATATTAAAGCTTAAATTTCAATTGAGAGTAATGAGATTTTGATATTGTCAACACAATTACAGAATTAAATCCAAGTCAATCCTGGAATTTTGTTTGAAGTCCATATTTTTTTTTTTTTTTTTTTTTTTGGCTAATCAGCGTCTGAAGATTTGGGCGTTCTTATTGTGCCATCAACAAAATCCACGATTCCTTTCCAATAAAATATTTTTTCATAGCACATCTCCAATATGAATAATTTGGACCATGTAGACGCACAGATAGAGTTTAACACAAACACATCATCATATGTGTACTACATGTCAAATTCCTTCCAGACAAAAAAATACCAAACTTTGAATAATTTTGATTCAAAGCAAATATCAAATTTGAATGATTCAGAATTATAGGAAAACCAAACCAGAACCTTTCCAATAGCAATGAAAAAGGAATGTTCCAGCAAAGTTGAATAACGATCAATACCAAATCAAAACATTATGCCCCGTAGTAAAGGATCTTGTAAAATCGTATCTACATTGTTAACCCACTCATATACCATACAATTGTCGATTTTTGGTGCATCTCAGATATAGAGGCGCTGCCTCTGTTTTCATATTTCATGACAGCAATCAACATTTTGTTTACTGTAAAACCTAATAAACTAAAAGGGGCATTCAATTACAATATTGACCTCAAATAGACCTTTATATCTGTCATAAGTTTACAGAAAATTTTCAGAGAGTAACGTACTAAACATCATCTTGCATTACAATCATGGTTTATGAACATCAAGATAGACATAAAGCTTCACGTAATGTCATGTGGCATTCTATCATTGAACAATTTAAAACATAGTCAACTTTTACATCAAATTATCTACTGTCACATGCAATTATATGAAGCTTTCTGTCCTTTTGGCAAAGTAGCTTTGTCCCTTGCCATATGCCATATGTGTCCCTTGCAGCATCTTTAGGTATAATTCTTTGACAACAAACTATATAAGATAATGAAACTGCAAAAATCCGTCCTGCCACTAAACCAAGTACTACATCAGAGAGCATGCAGCACTACCTGAATACCATGTTCGGGACGAAGTGTTGTAGTTTGAATTGGAGAGTGAACATAGTTAGGCGAAAGGGTGAATGCATAACGTTGGAGAATCATAGAAAGTGCAATTTTGGCCTCATTTATCGCAAAATTCATGCCCACACACGTTCGAGGTCCCATGCCGAATGGTAAAAATGCTGCTAGATTATTGTTGGTAGCTCCAACTACCCCTTTTGTGAATCTTTCAGGTTTGAAGAGATGTGCATCTTCACCCCATATTGTAGGATCCAGATGAAGTGCTAAGATTGGCACGTAGACTTTTACATTGGCTGGAATAATAAGGTTTCCTAATCTGGCCCCCTTCTTAGACTTTCTTTCGTTGAAAACTATTGGAGGATATAGTCTTAGAGACTCGTTAATGAACATGTTCATCTGTAAAAAGACAGGATATATATTTAAATAAAGGAAGTTATCATTTAGAGGAAAGATTTGTTTTGGTTTGAACTCAACAAATATACCGTTCTCAGTCTTGGTAGGCCGTCTGAAGTTGGATTCTGCTGACCGAATACTTTTAATACCTCGACACGAGTTTTTTCTTGCCAGTCGGGGTGAATTGCTAAAAGAAGAATAGTCCATGAAAGCAAAATGTGTGTTGTTCCTTGTCCAGCACTATAAAATGTCTTGCATTCATCAACAATTTCATCCAACGAAATCTTATTTTTTCCTGTAGCATCATGTCTAGCCTTCAAAAGTAATCCAAGCAAATCTGAACCAAATATTTGTGCTTCTTCCAGTGCTGCTTTCTCCCTTTTCTGAATAAGGACTAGAACAAGTTCTCGAATTTCTTTTTCAATCTTCTCTGATTCTACTTCGTCGCCATTTTTGTAAATAGGACTGCAAAATCAGTTATCGGTAAGCTGCTCCAATAATGAAAATATGGCATTTGGAGTGCTTTGATTCTTAAACTTCCTTTCTCTTTGAAAAAAACATTCACCAAAACAACAACAATAACAAAATATGTGCTTTTGCAAATAAATTTGGACTGGCTGCATTAATCTTTTTTCATCCTTTCAATTTGTTTGTAGAAATAATGGGAGATGAGGATATTTGCATCATCTAAAGAGAAAATTTCGATGTATCAATAAAATTTACCTGATGCTGGGAAGCCTTATCTTATCCGCATTTCTGTTAATTATAATTACCAACTTTCTCAACATCTGAAAAATTTGTTCCCCATCTTTATAACTGCTTCCAAATGCAGTCCTTGAAATTACTTCTGCAGTCAACAGTCTGAAATCTTCACAAACATCTATCTCTCTTTCTTCATAACTTCTCCACCGTTCCAGCATCATCTTGACACTTTCAACCATTGCCGGGGTCATATTCTACATTAATTTGGATAACGAGAATATAAATTTTAATAAGTATGAATCAAAACTTCTTGATGAACGGCAGTGTTATATTTGTTAAAGACATTGACAAGCAATCAGAAATAGAATTGATATCTTTCTTCCTTATTGAATATGCATCTTCTTTCTCTGTTTTCTCCTTTCCGTTATTTACTTTGAGAAGGTAAACATTTTGTCAGCCAGTTAACAAGAAGAATCATTATATTCATATTTACAAAATCTAAAGGTTACCTTCAAGTTTTCTGCATGAAATGACTGATTCGCCACTTTCCGTAGTTTCACCCATTTTTCTCCTTCACATGCTGCAATACCATCTCCTATTATCTTTTTCATATATTTATCTGCATCTGTTCTTGTGTAAGATTGACTGCTGCTCAGAAATTCCTTAACAAGTTTCAGTTCTGTAACAACTAATTCGGCTCTACACCCGTTCCAGAAAAGAAATATTTTTCCTATCCGAATGGGAAGTAAACAAATTATTATGGAAATAACAAGCAGCATCAAAGATAATCTTTAAGTCAAAAATAACGAAAGTAATGTTTCTGTATTAAGCTCTAGTCCCCAGGTCCTTAAAAAAAAAAAAAAAGAAGAAGGCAAAGTACACATATGTTTCACCCTCCTTCACTGCTATAATAATGAAAAAATATATGTTTTAATGCATGCCTCTCTTGCACGTAGACAATATCGTCATCCTAAAAATTCTTTATAAGTGCAGGAATATTAACGAAACCTAAGACATGAATGATGGATGGCATAACCCGATACACTTATTAGGTAAATCCCCAATTGAATGACTACTGTACAGTATGAATAGATTCCACATATTTCAAAAGAAGACACTAATTAAGAAAGAATGCCAATGGTTCTAAGTTCTAACATAGACAAGAAAGAAGTCTAAGCCTGTTTGGTGGGAATTAAAATCATATTTTTAGCAAATTTTAATAAAAGTTGATGAAATGTGTGGTTGAAAAATTATGATCCAATAAAACATGTGATTAAAATTAATTATTAACTTTAACTTGTATTAAGATTTTAATTTTAATTTCTTTCAAAAAATGGCTAAATAAAATAATACATCAATTAGAAGAATATCGTCAAGAATTAAGGATACTTTTGGATTATACGTATCATGAAACTTAGGCTATCTCCTATAAAAAGTGTGCACTAGGGGGAATGAACCAGGATTTGTATTACCATAAATATTAATCCATGAATAGATATGAGGCATAATTCTCGGCAACAAGTTGTGTGACAAGTCCATTGCGCAACGTGATGAGTTCTCCTTCTTCTTTGAAATCTCTTCTGTATTTCCAAAAATAAATTTGTAAGCAGGGCCACTGATGCCTTGATGCACCATTGCGCGTCGTATCTGCATTGGAATCCACCATACTCTATGAATAAATTTGATGAAAACTAACAAGAAATAGATAACCAGAGGACTAAAAATAAGAAATCTTAAGATTTCTGTAGTGAACATTGCTGGGGAAGGATTTTCGATCCAAAAATTGGCACCTTAGGCATTTACTAGACAAAATAGCTTTTATATATTTGAAGGGACAGATTTGGTAGGGAACAGGAATCACTGTTTTAAAGTAAACAATTAGGTAATACGACTATTAATTAGCTTAATTTGAACAAGCTCTAAATTATTGTGCCGGCTGCTATAAGTTTATTGGAGGTTTGACATTGTGCATTTTGCTGATGCCACTCGTGAAATGTGCAATTATATATTATCACTTCGTGAAATAAAATAACATTAAGTCTTTGTTTAGCAACCATTCTTTCAAAACTTTTTTTTTCATACTTATTTCCAACCACATTATGTCACAATAACATATTTTTCATGTAAATTAAAAAATTTTCCCTACTTTTTAATCCCACATTCTTCAAAAAAATTAATATTCAAAACGTCATTCTTTCCCAAAAAAGGGGCTGTCAAACGGGGCCTGAGTCTTATCCTGAATAAATCAGATGAACCTTTTTTCCCCGTCTACTGCTACATCAAATTGACTATAAGGCTCAACGCAACCAAATCCCTAGCAACCACATGTCGCGTCCAAGGTGTGGTCGACCTTCGACCCCTAGGTCCTCAAACTTGTTTTGCAAATATTAATTGTTTAAAAACAACTACAAACAAAGTCTTCTTCTCAATAAATTATTTAAGTTTAGGCTACATGAATAGATTTCGGTCACTCTGTTTAATAGATATACAAGTTCGTAAGAAGCTCTCATTTTCATATATCTGACTTTCAGAAGCAGGTTTCGCATGCATTTTCCAAAGGGACCATTAAGAATACAGAAGTTGAAATGGTAATCAGAATGCTGAAAGTAATATAAGCGTATTTTATCGGAGTGAAAAAGACTGAAAATTTTGCTACCATTCAATTTTTATAAACCCCTAAAAGCTAAAGCTTTAGCCTGAGAATATTTAGAAATAATGTATTTAGCACCACTGATACTATAACATCAGTTTAGATTTCACAATTTTTTTTAGCTCAAATAAAGATAGAATTATATAGCTCATTTAATTGAATCTCTCATTTAATGTTATTAGTGATACTCTGTAGTGTTAAATAGTACTTCCTCCGTCACATTTATATAGGCTGATTTTGTTTTTTACACAAATTAAAAAATCTTATTTAATGTTATTGAAAAAGTAATTTTTGTCAAAAACTTTCATAGTTTACCTTTATTTATATTTGTACGATTTCAAGATTAAGTGAAAAATTGATTATAACTAAGCAAATTAAATAAGGGTATATTAATAAATGAAAAAAAACAATAATAAAGAAACAGGACTATATAATTTACTTAATATTTAGTGCGGTATTGTTGACTGAGAAAACTACAGCATGAGGTCATCGAACACATTTTAGACATTTAAAACCCCGTGAAATAAGAATAAAGTTCCTCTACCAAAAAATGATTTACACCCTACATAACAGATAATGTGGGTCTCGAGCCGATCCCACATGAATAAAAAATGCAAAAAGCCATGACCCCCTTTTCATGTGTCTGATCTATCAAGAAAGGTGTAAACACCCTTCTGTATGACCAGTATTGCTGGTAAAATAATATAAAAATTGATGAAGATATGACTCCATGAATTATATCTGGCAAGTTCATGGGTAGAGCCAAAGGGGGGTTAATGATTTTGGCCTAGGGAAGCATATAAAGATAAATGATTTTTCTACTTATACTAAATCATGTGCAAAATCAACAAGTGACGGTCGGCACTCATAGCATGATCCAAAGATAAATTCCAAATTTGTTTTTTCAAATAAAATTTCTTTTCCTAGATAGTTTTTTTCTTTTTCCTTATAAGGGATGAGGGGTTACAGCCCAAAGGAACGTCTCTCAATTAGCCTCTAGTCATTTTGGATTTATTAGTCCTTGAACATGGACCCAGGATTTATTGGATATCCCTTAAATGTATTTGAACATTGAAGTGTATTTCCCCGGATAGATACAGGACCCATCATATTTAAAGTGGTAATCTTTACGAAATTTTCATGAGTAAACTTAGGGAAAAAAAATGAATTAACAAGTTCTCATTTAGGTCTGATTTTGGCTTGTTTCTCTTATCTAATAAGAGAACTACTCTGTTTCTACCGTTTTAGTTTAGTTCACGTAAACTCTTTGTTCCCTACTCGACCTTTTTGTCTGTTGCTCATTAAATCGTGGATCATTCAGTGTTATCCTATCTTATGTATGTGATCCCAATCTTTTCTCAATGGAACTGTATGATTTAATCATCAAAGTACCATATTTCAATTAACTATTCACATGATTATGAGAAAATCTTATTATTTTGTTCAGTTAATCCGTCATCTTCTTGATTTAAATGCTTTGAACAGTTCGTGCCTGCCAATTGCCATTTTAAAATATTTCGCATGCATTTGACGTGCACACACCACTCAAACATTTGAGATAATATTTTATTCCCAACAGTTATGTTATTATAATTTTGTTAGACTTTTCTTGAATGTAGACTCAACTACTTGAAAGCTCTTTTTTTTTTTTTTTTTTTATAACATACAAAAAACAATAAGAAATCCATGGATGGTTAAAGGTCAAAAGAGTATAAAATTACTAACCAATCTGTAAGGATCCAAGATAATTTTTTATTTGGGTTGATCATTAACATGGAACTTCAAGCCTTAGCCCTTATCTAGTTTAGCTAGAAAAAAGTATATTAAAATTTAAGTCGAAGTCAAAAATTAATTTTAACCACATATTTCGTGCACATTTCATCAATTTTTATTAAAATCTCCTAAAATCTGATTTTTACCTAAAACAGGGGCTTAATATGGTATCACGGCCATATAAGCCTAAATAATCGACATCTTGCTTGACATGCTAAGGATAAAGGTCTTGTAGTGGTTAAGTTAAAAATTCTAACCAACATTAAAGGTTTGTTGGGAATTAACACCAATCTCTTGATTTGTTCATAAGATCCTTGTTCAAATCTTGCCCCATTTTTGCCAAAGGCCAACTAGGCAGCTAGCTGCACAGGGCTTCATTATTTTCAGGGACCTCATAAGAAAAAGTCGGCCCAAAACCTACCCAAAAACCCGTCTGAAACCCACACAATTACTCAAAATAACATCGTTTTACCTAGAGTTAGAAGAGACACTAAGAGATTGAATTATCCGTTTGATCGCCACCACCATTGCCACATGAGGAGCCCAAGAAAGAAGAGAACACCGCAACTGAGTTTTGGTGTTCTGAATTCCTGGTAATAAATAGTAATTGGTAGAACTGCAATCATAGTGCAGGTGCAAAAGAAATTAGTAATGATCAGTTCGTGCCCTTAATTCTCTCCTAATGATCTTTTACTTTGTTATTATATAGTATTGGCTTTCTCTAGTCTCTTGTATTGTTTTCAAGATTGGAGGAGGGATTGTATTTGTACCAGTGAACTTCAATTACATTTTTTAATGGAATGTGGCTTTTGATTGATGCTTGTTTGTGTTTGGGCATTTCTAATTTTTTACAGGCATTGTACATTTATATGCCAATCATTGCCCTCGATGGTGTTGTGATTGGAATTGTCAATTTCAATGGCTGTGAATATTGACAATAGTGCAAGTTGGATTTGCTATCTTTAGGTTCATGATAATTACTCATACCTGTTAGGTTCTGACTCAAATTCCATGTGATTTGGAATTGTAGTTAATGGATGAAGTTTAGATAATTTTGATTTAGAAGTCTGGATAGATAAGGGATCAAATTTCATCATGCATTGAGAGTTTGATTTGGATGAGAACTTAGGGATTAATGACTCTACTCCATCCATAATTCCAAAATTTGGCTCTTATAAATACTCCACAAGGTATAGGATCTTCAAAGGCTCAACATAATAATTAGATCATTGTTGTATACATTAGAAAATTGAGAGAATTATTTAGATTTAGATTGAGTGAATTAAATCTTGTATAGACAATTTTAATTTTTTGGTATAATAAATTTCCTCTTCTCCCACAAAATAATTGTTTGTTGTGTGATCCATTATTTTCATATTACTTCTTGTCTTCAACTATTTAGTCGGATTCTCAACAAATTAGTATCAGAGCTATTCCGCTTCCACCAAAATGGTTTCAGATCTAGTCCAGATTATAACAAGTGGTATCAGAGCTAAAGAATTTATTATTATTATTTTTTTAACGGATTCTTGAGAGTTCCTAATTGGATTAAAGAGATGTTGAAGCAAAGTCAATTATTTCAGGAATGGCAACTATGAAATTCAAGATTCTGCTTTTGGATATCAACAGTAGATTCTCTTTGTGGTAGTTCAAGATGCGAGTAGTTCTTGCTCAATTGGATCTTGATTACACTTTGTTGGGATAGATAGAATGCCGCAATAATGACTGCAGAGAAAAAGCAACAGAAGGGTCAAAAAGCTCTATCACATATACATCTTCATCTTTTTAATAAAATTCTTCAGGACGTGATAAAAGAGAAAAGTGCTGCTGGGTTATAGTTAAAATTGGAGCAGCTCTATATGACAAAGAGCTTAACAAATAAGTCACATTTGAAGCAGCGGTTGTATTCTTATCGTTTGACGGAAGGTGAATCTTTGAAAGATCATCTATCGGTGTTCAAGGAAATCATTGTTAACCTGGTATAACACCTCAAATCTAAATACCTAGATTTGGAAGTATTGCCGTTTCATTTCTCTTAAAATTGCAAAGGCAGAAGCGATTAAATTTTTTCTTTAATATAATGAACATTATTGAATTCATTTATGAACGTAACTTGTACAAAACTTTTACACTTAAATGGAAAAAAAATAATAAAATTAAATGTTAATTTTAATTTCTAAGAGAAGTCGATAGTTAAATGTATTAATTAGTACTGAGTCCATCGCACCACAAGTAGTGGTCTCGAATCATTTTCCTTCATCATCTAAAAGTGGAGAGGGATAACGTAGGATGACCCAACCCTCAGTAAGCAAACCTCATGCATATGATGCATGCTTTCTTTAAAAAAAAAACAAAAACAAAACAAAAACAAAAACAAGTAGCATTGATGTCG